GAAGAAAAGGAAAGCTATTATAAAGATATAATTTCAGATGATGATGTCTCTGACTTGGCAGAATTTATTAATAATATTGAAAAATCAAGTTGCGTAAAGATGAATAATAATCCAAATAAGAAGAGAAAACATAATTCATCATCAAGAAACATCACTACTAAAATTGGAAGCACTAAATCTGAAACCTTGAATGATTCAATTATAGAAAGAAGGTATAATTCTTCGTCGCCGCTGCTATTACCACCACCACCACCACCACCACCACAACAACAACAATCATCACCATCATTAAGAAAACCAAAACCAAATTTAGATCTTGGTTGGATTTTAGATGATGATGATAAAGAATCATTTTCTAGTAAATTGATTAATCTTAAAAACAAAGATCCAAAAGAAAATGAAATATTTAAGTTTATAGATAATTTGCATAATAACGAGGACATGAATTTAGGAAACCATTTGAATATTGTAAAGAAATTACCAAAAAAATTTCATATAATTAATGGTGATTATTACAATGACGATGGCGATAAAGAGAATTCAGAAGATTCTTCTTCAGAGGATATATTAATTATTGGTGTGAAAAGATACAAGAAAAAAAATAAACAAAAAAATAACAACAATTACAACAATTACAATAAACCTGATAGTGAAGATGATGTTGTTGAAAAAGTTGGCAATGATGATGATGGTGAACCTTCTACACTGGCAAATGTCAAAAAACTTAAACCATCACCAGAATTACCATCAGAAATTGAAGAATCACTCAAAGAATTGTGTCGTATGTCCAAACTAACTCCTGAAGCTCACCTAGAGCAACTTGTTGGATTATTTGAAAAATTATATTTAGAGGTTGGCATAGATCAGGATTGGCCTCTACAATCAAAAATTTTAATGTCACGGATAATCACGATGATAAAAAATTGGGAATTGAAGGATATAAAAAGGATCGAAAACTCAAGCAAGTTAATTGGGAGAGTCTGTTATTTTTTAACTGAATTATTTAAAAATGTTCCCAAAGATGTATTTTTAATTAAAAATTTTGTCGAAGCTCAAAACATCTTGATTGACAAAATTTGCAACATAGCCATCAACAGTCAACCAAAACAAAATCATAATGATCTACTAAAAATTATATTGCCTGATCTCTTATCAGAACTTGAAAAGTTATTAGATCTTTTAATGCTAAAGAAAAACGTTACATATTATGGTGCTTCTCAACAATTTCTATCAAACATG